TGTCGTACTTGTGCGGCATGTCTGTTTCCTCTGTACCATCGTTTGGCACGTTTGGATGCTTGGCGAGCATATTGTAATGCTGCACATGGCCCACCCAATCAAGGATGCTGTGTTGAATCAAATTATCATTGTATGCCCTTCTCGTGGCATTTGTATCCTCACCCCCCGGTGCTTGCCAGGGCAGGACCTGCAGTTGCCTGACCATTCGCTGTGCCGGCGGCAGCTTTACCGCCGCCGCCGCCGCGTCCTCGTCGGCCTCGACCGCCAGACGCCTTCTCCTTCTCCTTCTCTCCATTTGGCGTTTGGCCATCCTTTGCTGAGCCGCCTGGCGCAGCCGCAGCAGCAGTGAGCTTCTTATCCTTCCGCTCCGCCACCTGTACGTTTCCCTGGCCAACCTGAACGGGGCTGGCAGCCACAGCCTTGACCAGGGCTTCGTGCTCAGAAAAGTCGACATAAGCAAAGCCCTTGCGCTTGTCAATCTCAACAAGCGTAATGGTTCCAAATGCACCGAGAGCCTCTCGAAGCTTTGCGTCGTTCACTCCTTGCGAAGCATTGACATGCTTAATAAAGGCGCGGGTTGCGTTTGCCGAGACAGCGGGTGACTTCTTTTGCGAGGCTAGCTTGCTGTTAGCTTTCTCTTTGCCAGCTTGTCTACCGTTGCCATTCGAGTTCGTCACTGGCCCAGAGGCTTGGACCTGGGGTTCAGCAGTTTTCTTGTTGGTTTCGGAGTCGTTCTTCTTCCTCAAGATAACCGGAGGGTTGGCTGCAGTCGGTTGTGGACCCGATGTCTCGTTGGCAGCTGATTTACCCTTCTCAGCACCACCTTTGCCACCGCGATTTCTCCGTCCAGCCTGTGGTTTCGGGGCGACTGGGCTGTCGGGGCGACTTTTCGGCGCTTGTACTATGACCTCAGCGGGAGATGCTGCGGATGCAGTAGAGCTGGCAGCATTGGCAACATCTGCGGTTGTACCGTTATCGTCCTTGGTTGAAGAGCTTGCTGCCTTGGCATCAGCCTCGGCCTTGGCAGCATCGTGACGTGCTCTTCTATGTGCGCTGCCAGGGCTAAGGCCAAGATCGCGCTGCAGTATTCTAGCGGCGGCAGCGATTCCAGCACGTCGGCTTTTGGGCGCATCGGTGGCCGCTGCAGCTGTAGTAGCAGCGGCATTGGCTGTCGCAATTTGGCTGGCTACCTTCTTCGCCCCCTCCGCGGCTTGCTCAGTTGCTGCCTTCTTAGTAAGAATCTTGACATTCTCTTTAGGCGTCTTGTCCTGCTTCTCGGTTCTTGATTCCTTGCCCTTCTTCCTACCGAAGGAGTCGTCGTCCTTGGCGCCACTCTTTCCCTTTCCAGACTTGGAGTTCTTGCCGGATCCATCCTTGCCCCTGTTGGCCTTCTTCTCCTTCAAAAACTCGACCAGAGGGGTGGTGGTAACCTTGACCTCTACTTTGGCAGACTCGTCGGCATCCTCGACATCGATGCTCTCCCTCATCGGTGCAGGGTTGGCCAACCCTTCAAGGAAGGCCATGAATTCGGGATCTTGATCAATGGTGCCTTGTCGAGTATCCGTGCGCTTCTTAGTGCCTGGAACCTTTTTGTAAATTGAAAACTCCAACACGGGCGGGCCTATCAATGACGGATTCGTGAATGTTGATTTTGCATCCTCCCATGTCGCGTTCCTTACAACCTCGCTGAGGGGCATGATGTCATCCTTCCGCACCAAATGAACATACGCCCGACCGGGACGAGAAGGCTTTGAGGGGCTTGGTTGACGAGAGTCAGTATCACGAAAGACAAGATCTAAAAACTTTGGGCTTGACATACTCGATGGAAATCTTTCCAGGGACGTAGGAGAACCAATCGACTTTGCCCTTGGACATCTCCCACTCTGGTCCGAGAATAGAAATAAACTCCTCCATGGTCATACCTGGTGGCAGACGACGAATCACCAGTTTTTCTCCTTCGTTTTGAGGTTTGGATCGCGCAGCCTTTGGCGCCACCTCCCCATCATTCGCACTCTAAGTCGAGTTAGATTTTCATCCGATTTTGACGGGGATTCACATGTCCCATATCTCTCAAAGGGAAAGGCTTACTTTGTTGGATGCCCCTCCTCGTCTGTCAGCCGGTCCCTTGCCCTTGGCAGGTTTTAAGGCATTGCCGCCAGTGTCATTGTCTTTGGCCTGTTCAACTCCATGTCAGAAGTCGGGGGTTTGACGTGTGGCGAAAGACTGGTCGCGACATACCTGTGATGCTCTCACTCGCTGTCTCACCTTGATCTGGTCAGACGGCTGGCTGGTTGCGCTGCTGGATGGACCGTTTGCCTTCCGCGAAAGGACTTGCGGGGGCTGTGTGGACATGGCGCATGCTGGGTGCGGAGAGATCTACGTTGACAGTCGGCAATCTTGCAGAACAGCGTGGGCGATGGGATTAAATATCTTACAGAAAACGAAACATCCAAAGCTCGCAAGCTAAAGCGCAAGTGAAGTCAAAAGGGCCTTGAGTTGTTACGGCCCTGAGAAGCCCCACAGATTGGTGGAGCTGGTTCTGCCCCAAGAGCTTTGGCTTCTGTGTTATTCGTTTCCGGTGCACGCAGGTAGGTCACGTGAACGGATAGAGTTGGCTTAGTGAGTACATGTAGTTACCTACCTTGGTAGGTAGACGTGGCTGCATTTAGATAGCCATCGAAGTAACATCCTCTTGCGTGGAGAGACGATGAAAAGGTTAATAGCAGCAGGCCACAAATGCTCTAGCGAAAAGAAGTTTTGCAGAGCATGGATGTGGTGGCAGTATGAGCTGCGTCCAAGGCACGCAGAGCCTTTCCAGCGTGGGCTGCAAGGGGGGGAGCCGCAGATGCTCAGATAAGCACATGAACATTTGGCTGAACTCTGGCTGGTCAACATCTGAAGTCTGGTGGCCCCAGGTGCCATGTCAACATTTGAACCGCTGTAATCAGCTGGCCTCCCCTCTCAAACCCACTGTGTCCGTGCTACCAGCTTAGCTTCCACAGGCGCTTTCCACTGTGACATCAACCAGACCCCGAAGAAGACTCCAGGCCCGACTACAACTTCGCGTTGCTCGAAACCAAAGGCCGGACGGTTTATCCATCTGGTCCATCCTCTCCACGGGATTACCACTATCCGTTACTACTGTGGCGGGCCGTGATAATCCTCCCGGCGGCCGCCATTACGACGAGCCTTGCGCACATCCAAATCCTCATAAAACATGACGACAAACGTCCCTCGGCCTGGCCCCGCCAACTTGGGTCCCAATGCCGGCCTAGACGAATGGCTCGAAGAGGCCAAACAATGTCACTACCTGCCTGAGAGGGCCATGAAGGAGTTGTGCGAGAAGGTCAAGGAGATTCTTATGGAAGGTAGGCACTGGCTCCGTCGCTGACCCAACGCGCGAGCCGCGCTGACTGGACGAACACAGAGTCCAATATCCAGCCCGTTTGCACACCTGTCACAGTTTGCGGAGATATCCACGGCCAGTTCTATGACCTCTTGGAGTTGTTCCGAGTGTCAGGGGGCATGCCGGGCGAGACCAATGTCCAGGCCCCCAAGACTGCGACCACTGTTATCACGTCCGACGATATCGAGCCGCCGAGCGAAATCACAAATCCAAAGCTCAGGAAGAAGCTGCGGTCCCCCGTAGGTGATGCTGGTGCGGGCGGTACCGAGGGCGAAGATGATGCCGACGCCGTCACCGGTTCTCGTCCGGGGTCCGCGCTGTCAGGTGCCAATGTCACCTCCGCTCAGAGCGCCGAGACTCGCTTCATCTTCCTGGGAGACTTTGTCGACAGAGGCTATTTTAGTTTGGAGACATTTACGTTGCTCATGTGCTTGAAGGCCAAGTAGGTACCATCTGCTTCAAATCGAATGACCGTTCCACGGCTAACAGTTTCGAAATAGATACCCCGATCGAATTGTGCTTGTCCGAGGCAACCACGAATCTAGGCAAATCACACAAGTCTACGGCTTTTATGAGGAGTGCCAGCAGAAATATGGCAACGCTTCTGTGTGGAAGGCCTGCTGCCACGTCTTTGACTTTCTTGTCCTTGCAGCTATTGTCGACGGCGAAGTTTTGTGTGTACACGGCGGACTCAGTCCCGAAATTAGAACGATAGATCAAATCCGTGTTGTTGCTCGTGCCCAGGAGATTCCTCATGAAGGAGCATTTTGCGACCTGGTCTGGTCAGATCCCGAAGATGTTGAAACGTGGGCTATCAGCCCGCGCGGTGCCGGCTGGCTTTTTGGCGACAAGGTCGCTACCGAATTCAATCATGTGAATGGATTGAAACTGATTGCGCGGGCTCACCAGCTTGTTAATGAAGGCTACAAGGTATGACGCGTTCGGACAGAGAATAACTTTTGCTACGCATTGGGTGCTAACCATGGGCAGTATCATTTTGCCGAAAGCTCTGTTGTGACAGTTTGGTCTGCGCCGAACTACTGTTACAGGTGCGGTAATGTTGCCTCGATCATGACTGTAGACAAAGACTTGAACCCAAGATTCAGTATATTCTCGGCCGTGCCTGATGACCAGAGGCACGTTCCTGCGAGCAGGAGAGGACCGAGTGACTATTTCTTGTAATGCACGATGTTAGAGGGTTGTTGCGAAATTAAAGGCTGGGAGAAAGCTTTTAGATGTAAACTAGCATACGATTGAGATATCCATGACTTGTGGTATGAATTATAACGGCATTTATGGTTATTTGGCTACTCAAATAACGTTGGCAAAGGTGTAATGGTGGCCTCATCGCGCGTTGAGTTGAAGCCCAAGGTTCCAGCCTGTGACTTCACGCAGATTGTGGGCCGTTTTTATCACACTGACTTTCAATTTTTTATCACCACGCTCGCGTCAAGGCAGACATGGCAAGCGCATTTAAAGTGGAACAAGACACAAGTCACTGCCATTAAACGATATGAATGATCTTTATTCGAACCTACTCTCATATCTCATCCAGTTCGATGCTGTTCCAAAGTACGACTAGCTGAACCGCAGAATGCCTAGGCCTCAACCACACACTGACCCAATCCAAACCGCCATTTCAGCATGGCTCACCTCTCTTAACCCTCCAGTGAACGAAGATTCTACGGCCTGGAAAATGAGTCTAGGAGAACATGCACCCAAGAGGTTCACTATATACGAACCCATGGCGCTTTTACCCGCCGGCAGCTTCACCAGTGCCTCGTGGACCACCGAGCTCCAACGACACAACGGAGCGACCACCGACTTCCTCTGGGAGTTAATTCTGGAAGAACTCTCCAAGACCGGCAAGTCAGACTTGCGATTGACACACTTAGCGGTCAACGAAGGCATCCCGCTACAAAGTCAAGAAAGAAAAGAGGAAAACATCATTCGCAGTCCGAGTGGCTTGCGAATTTTATACGGTGATTTCGGCCCCGGTGCCCCAAGCAGCATCTCTCCTTCCAACGAAGATTTCGAAAAGGCCTTTTGGGTATCTACCAAACAAAATGGGATATATCAAACGTGGGCGCCCCGTTGGACAATGTTCAGCAGAGGCAACGTCAAAGAAAAAGCCCGCCTGCTCCAATTTCCAGCGGTGCCTAAGAAGAGAAAGGACGGCGGTCAGTCACAAGATACATGGGCGGTAGACTTATACGCCGGCATCGGATACTTTGCATTCTGCTACGCGAAACTGGGGTTCAGGGTGCTCTGCTGGGAACTTAACCCGTGGAGCGTGGAGGCTCTTCGTCGTGGAGCACACTTGAATAAGTGGAGTGTCGAGGTTATCGAGGGGGAGAAGCTGAAGCAATCTACAGAGGAGATTATGAACAGTACGGCTTCGATCGTGGTGTTTTCGGAGAGTAATGAAAATGCGCGCTGGAGAGCTGAGAGCATGAAGCAGGAGGGGCAATGGCTGCACGACGTGAGGCACGTCAATTGCGGATTGTTGCCTACGAGTAGATTGACGTGGGATGTCTCACTATTTTTGACAAGGAATGCGACCATTCGTGGGGGGGAGGCGTGGCTGCATCTTCATGAGAATGTGGGCGATGCTGAGATTGATTCCAGAAAAGACGAGATACAGACTCTGTTGAGGGAGAATCAGGATGACAAGAGTTTGACGAGAGCGATTACGGTGGAAAGGGTAGAAAAGGTCAAGACATACGCGCCTGGCGTATGGCATTGTGTGTTTGATGTGCGTATTGTTACAAAATCTTCATGAAAAATGTTGATACAGCAGTCCCCTCCATATCTAGCGCCACCGGTATATTCGCCCCCCTCGCTTCTGAATCTATCATTCAATAACTTACTCCATGCAATCCCATTCGAAAGAATTCCACAAATCCAACCAATCATCTGATTCAACGCCGAGATGCTCGCTCCCCTCGAGCTTAATGTCTCCGAAACTTGGCGGGGATGTTCTCTTCGATAATCGACTTTTTATCCATTGCCTCTTGTGCTTCTTGCGCCTTCTCCAACTCTTCGTGGTGCTTGAAATGCTCAATATCCTCCGGGTGCGTCAGGTCCTCCAGTTTTGTATTCTCATCGTGATACTTTTCCCAGTGATGGATTTCATACTCGTATTCGTCGTCACCATGATGGCCCGGCCCAGTACCCATATCAGGGAGCGTTTCGCCCCCGTCGATAAACTCCTTGAACTCCTTACCCGAGACCTCCCCGTCGTGATCCTTGTCCAAAAGACCCATGAGGTGTTGCAGGACCTCTAGCTTCTTGTCGTGCGACATATCCCTATTCGAAGGGTCCATTAGGCCGTAGGTTCGCATGATTTCTTCGCCTTGCCAGGCACCATCGGAGTTGTAGTCGTGGAGGACGAAGAAGGCGCCAGTATCCCAGGAATCGATGTGGTGCTCCTCTGTATCGATTCATGTCAGTGATTGAACTCTTCTTGTTGGGTCGCTAGATGGCCTGGAATGCCGATCTGGGTGTGAGTGCTGAGCTTGAGACATACCGGCCATGTGCTTCTCCATCCATGTGGCATCTTCCCTGACCAAGGGCTTCTGGCCGTGGTTGCCGTGGGCGCTGGCCAAGCCCGAGAGAGCAATTGCTAGTAATAACGGGGTCTGCATGGTTCGGGCTTTGACAAGTGTGCAATTGGGATTCAAGGGCACTCAATTGCTGGGGGCTGTGATGTACGATGGGTTGGTTAATGTAGATTCCCTGAAAGGGGCCCGCCTTCGGTCGATTTGGCTTTTGAGTGGCGGTTGATAACCAACTTTGGAAACAGGCGCCGGATGCAGATTGCTGGCGACTCCGGCAGTTTCGAGCGCTGGGAGCATTGAGGGATCGGTATTGGCCAATCAGCGGCGAGAAGGGGGGTTTGCAGCGTTGCATGTCTCTTGCTCCGAGACGAAGCCCCATGCATTCGTCAAACAACCCAGCATGGAGGTGGAGTGTGGAGACCCGTTATCGATAAGTGGTGCGCAAACAGGGAATTTGCTGACAGAGCTTCGCAACTTCATTTGGGATCATACTGCCACATATCCCAGTGATACCATTGACACCCCTGGTACCAGTACAACTGCTTTTCGAAGCTGCAAGAGTAGACTCATACACTGTAATCAGTTCTGGCCCAAGCGGTTGTTTATTTGTGGAATTTGATCTCAGTTTTCTCACCTGAATCACTACGCCATTTTAGCAAGCTCACGCGTGGTGCCTCGCGTCGAGCCGCAAGCCAACATGAGTAGACAAATTGAGCAGGCATTGCTATCAATGATGCCGACATATGGCTCAGATCTGCCACCCTCCCTTGTGGAACTGGCAGGGTCCTTGCTTGCCCAATCTCGACACCGGGCAAGCACATTGAAGGCAGAGGAAGAGATAGCTCGACAGTATGCATGTGCCAACATAGCTTGTGATCGGTCAGTATGGTACCGTGTCAAATACCGCCATATACCTGCTGACACTCTTGTAGTCTGAAGATCACTCTTGACTTGCCACCTATTGAACCTCGTCCCCCAATTCCCCCGCGTATCTACAAACGGCTGTATACCCATTTGGACAATATCTTGCCCAATCCTACAGCTACACCAAGGTCAACCCGAAATAGAGCTCCAAGCTCCAAGAAACGCGACAAGGACACACCCTCAAAGTCGGAGACCCGCCGGATACCATCAAGAGGAACTCCAACAAAGGAGGCAGCCCTGGCTCCGTTCCGTACGACACCAAAAAATGGCGGTACCTCTGCCAAAGGACACATCCTCGACTCGCAAAACTCGAATGGCCATCTACACCCCTGGATTCAACCAGTCATTCGATTCATGTGTGCCGAGTCGGATCACAAACGGCTTGCACCAACGGTTTTCGCTGGTATGGAGCATATCCTCACACAAGAGGGCCGCCCAACCCAAGACCAGTGGGTTATTCATCACGTAACCGACCTATTAGCAGCCGTGTACTTTTTCGTCATTATGCGTGTTCGATCAATCACGTCTGGTGCCAAGATTGACCGCGAGGGATATGTACCGCTTCGAAAAGAGATTCTTGCTCTTGTGGCCAAGGCCAATCAAGAAGTTGCCGTACCTGATGTGGATGAATCCGACGCCTGGGAAGGCTGGAGTGACCTCAAGTCTCGAGACTTTGATGCCGCTGTGGCCAAGGTCAATGAGAATGATTGGTTGGCTGGCGATTGGTATGATGGGATTGTTGACGTGATTAGCTCTACCGTAAGGACAGATGCAGACCTGTCAGATGATGATGTCGAGAACTCAGAGGCTCTCCTGCCTACCCGGCGTGCGGATACAATGCTCCAAGAACGATATGACTTGTTGAGCGAGGCTAGAAAATCAGACTTTATTGTGTGGCGTGACATCATGCTCGACAGGATTGCACAGGCAACGCCCGTACAAGTCGTCATGGAGGCTGACATTTGATAGCATGCATTTCCTCCTAAAGAGATACAAAATACAAGCGAAGGTCTTCCATTCTATTCTGGTCTACTCTATTCTATGGTGTCGATTCTATTCTATCAAGTTGTATCGAACAGCTCGACGATTTACAGGACGGTTCATTTTCAGCTAAGCACCCCCATTTAGTTATTCTTTCTTTGCCTTACAGGAGGCTTTCATTCTTCTCCTCCTTGGGTCTTCCGCCCTCATCAGTGCCACCACCTGGGTGCCATTTTGAGGCTACAGACACGTTGGCGTTGTAGTTGGTAGTAATGTCAAGTCCAATCGTGAGCCAAAGCAAAAGACCTTCCTCAGCCCCGTCGCCAAGGTAAGTATACTTCATGAATGGATCATAGTCTTCGGTCGCCTCATCACCAGTAAATTCATCCTGGCGATTGTTCGTGACCGGTTGCTGATTTCGAATGTACGGCTCATTCTTCTCAACTTCGGCAATGAGAGATTGGTCAAAGTAAACCTGTCCAATATGCGAAACAGTGCCACCTTCAAAAGTTCCGTTTGACAGGATAGTGGCATTGTCTGTGGACATGACGTGGAAGTGGTTGGTTCGACCAATGTAGTGGCCTGGGAAGATTGTGCTAAACTGCACCACGCCGTCCTTGTCTGTCTGCTGAATGCCGCGGCCGAAATTGGTTTTCAAACCACCTTGGAGTTCAGCCGTCACGCCAGAATAGACACCAGTGGAGTTGGCGTGCCACAGGTCAATGATGAGGTTAGGAACTGCCTCGCACGTATTGATGTCAATGAATTGGAAATCCAAGTGTGAAGCAACACCTGGTTCTCCATCAGTAACATCTGTCCGGAAGGATTCGCCCTCAACATAGTATGGGCCAATGATAGTTTCCGGGACAAGAATGCAACTCGCGTTGGAACCAAACAGCTCATCCAAAGGAGTATCAAGGTCATATCCCTTGGCAGTCTCGTTATGGGAGAGATCAAGGTACTTCTCAAGCTCCTTGGGACCTCGACGCTCAGCGCCTTGACATGTTTGTGTTAGTACAATTATTCAACAAACAAAATTCGAGCATTGTAACTTACGAGTCTTGAGTCCTTTCTTCACACGCAGCTCATCAGCCCAAGCAGCACGACGAGCTACAGCTCGTTCTTTGAGGGCAATGGCAGCAGGGGAATCAGCACAGTTGGCAAGACTTCGCTTGGAGTGTGCTGCAATGCGACGAAGAGTTGCGGCTTGTGCCTGGCGCTCTTCTTCAGTCTCAGGATGGCCATATACGACGGCTGAGAAAGCCAAGGCCGCTGTGAGGGAGGGCAAAATCATATTTGTCTTGAAACAGTGAAACTCAATTTACTGTTACCAGTTTCTTTGTATTGTTGATGGCGACGGACGAGAGGTTTTCATCTGGGCGTTCCCCGTCTTGCCTTTATACTCGCGCAACTGGTCAACTGGCTCTCTTACACTCCGAGGCATCAACGAGTTGCTACCAAGTCTCCATACAGAACCCCGTTCATTGTCCCCGTTATGATTTCGTCACCAGCGATTTGTTGATGCGTCTCATCTATGCATAATTGCGACATTTTGCAATGATCATCTTGGCAACTGCTGTTCCCTTCTTCTTCGGAACTGATACCGGAACCTGCGCCTTGGAATTCTTCCTGCATGGAACGCGCGGTGTTACAAATTCCAACAGCATGTTCGTCCAAGGTAACATCTGCTGTGGAATAGGAACCGGGGCTAATACCCCATTAGGGTGTCTCTCAAGGCGCAGCCTAGATCCAATGAAGGAAGCTTGGGTAGGTTTTTGAGCAATTCATCCAAGGAACCTGTTGATGCTCCTAGTCCGTGCGAGCCCATGGCCCAAAACACCGAGTGGGATAGGAAGTAAAAAAGTCGTTCGCGTCCCAGACAGCCAGAGTTTGCGTGCTACACTTTCGTAGACCATACATGTTGCTCCACATTCCTTTATGCCTATACCATTATTTCATGCTGCCCTGTATTTGAAACTACCAACAACGGATATGACTACAAGAACAGCATCGCCAGTGGTTGTCAGGGTTCAAGTTTGGGCGCGGAGGCCGATGGTCTCCTTGTGGAGTTGGGTCACATCGATGCTTGATGTTTTGACCTTAAAACACCCCGGTTGGTTCTGGTTTGCGACGGCTCAGCTTGCAAATGAGAACATGGGTTATTTTGGTCACGCAAATTGGCGCCATCATGACTGGCGGGCGTTGGTCTCGGCTTTTCTCGCTGGCTGGCTTCATTCCCTGGATGCATTGAATGCTCACTTTGACAGCGGGACTTGGCCCAAGGATGCACGGGTTGCCAGATGCCGATCTCTGGATCTACCCAGTTCATGCGATATATGTATGTATGTACCTATATATGTATGGATTGTTCTTGACGGGCGACTCAAGACGAAACTTGGCATCTTTGGACAATGGTCTGGTTCTAAGGTCCCGAGACGTATCAGGAAGATTATGCACGGCACGTGCCAAACAAGAAGTTCGAGAATCACACCTTCCAAACTAAATGTTAGACTATATCTTCAGACGTCCAAAAAGTCCTCGTGCTACAGCCTCCGAGTCACATGGTCGACGGGATTCTAGCTCAGCCGTCCGGGAACATATGGATGTCCGGCGCTCAACCCGCCGCAGACAGCCCAGGCCTGGCCATTCACATAGCTGCTCTCGTCGGTGCCCAGGAACAGGGCCACCCGCGCAATCTCGTCTGCGTGGCCGCCTCTTCTCGTTGGGTTCAGGTGCCCAATCTTCTTCTCGTTGCCCCTCGCCCTGGCGGCCTGGTACACGGGGGCCGTCATGCCCGTCTCGATGAGACCGGGGCAAATGGCATTAACGCGGACCCCCGTACCGGCGAGCTGGTACGCGATGGTCTGGGCGAGAGAGACGACGGCCGCTTTGGAGGCTGAGTAAGGGGTCGAGCCGGCGTTGGAACGGATTCCGGCGACAGAAGCGGTTCCGATGATGGATCCGCCTGATGTAGGCTTGGATGGCGATGTTTTCATCATGGCAGGCGCGGCATACTTTGCCGCCAGGAAGACGCTATGTCTCGGCATTAGCCCGTGTTGTGGATACTACTTTGTGAGGCTTGTGGTTCTGAAACTTGATATAGTGCTGGCATAAAAAGAACCGTAAAACCAAATGGTTAACAGTGGGGGGCCGGGGGGCTGTTCGGTGAGGGCTTTTTTTTTTTGGTTTTTAATTCGTTCTTTACCTTAGAGTGTTTGTCTTGAGAACCTCCATGAAATCCGAGTCTTTGAACTCGGTGAAGACGACATTTAATCCCGTGATGCCGGCATTGGCAAAGAACACATCCAGACGGCCGTACCGGTCAAGGGCGTCATCTACCACGGCCTTGACTTGGGCCTCGTCTGCGGCGTCGAACTGCCAAATGTGGATATCTACCGCCGGATATAGGCCCGTCATCTCCTGCTTATGCGCAGCGAGGTTGGAGTCGGCGTAGTCGCAAATATAGACTGCCTTGGCGCCATTCTCTGCAAATTGGTGGGCCGTTGCGCGGCCAATGCCCAGGGCCGAATTTGCACCTGGGCAACGCGGGTTGGTTCGAGGTTAGCCTGGGTTCCCTATTGCATGATGAGACGCTGTGGGTGATGTGATCTGCTGGCTGGCGGGTGATGCGTGCGGAATCTCGGATCATGGTGGATCGTACCTGTGATGATGACGACTTTGCCTTCGGCTCGAGGGCCATTGGACTTGCCGGCCACCTTGACGATCGGTGGGAGGCCGCCCGGTGACGGCTCAAGCTGCTGGCCGATGGCAGTGATTCTTTTTTGAGCTTGGTCTGCCATTGCGTTTAGCGGGACCAAAGATGCCGTGACTCGTGGGTGAATGTGTGGCTCCTAGTCGCGAAGAGCTATTTGCATATGCAGCGGCGACCCCGGCTACTTAAGAGATATGGCGAATGGCGGGCGGATGTCTGTGCTCCTTTATGAGGCATACATTGATGGCTAGCTGCCGGTGGGAGGATAGGTGGCTTCGATGAGGGTGCAAGATGTGGTTTTTTATGAGCTGCGGCTCGGGCTGCGAAGAGGTGGGCAGCTTGGGGATCCGGAGCCGAGGTTCGAGGATGTTTGTGCTTGCGTCTTACTGGACCGGCTCCGTGTTCAAATGTTGGGTTGGTGGACAAGAGAGCCATGGCTGGGGATCTACACGTCAGCCCCACTCGGCCGAATCCGAATCTGGAGATGCCGTATTGATATGTTGATATGTCAAAAAACGAAAGACAAAACACCGGCGTACGGATTATCCTCTATAGCATCTGTTCGGCGTCGGGTAATACATGTCATATCATAATCAGTTGGCTTTCTTGTGCTCCGAGTATAATCTGATGAGACTGCCGTAGCTGGCTGCGCCAGAAACAAAGACTCACCCCCGTCGGTTGGTTCCTTGTTGCATCCTCAGGAAACAAAATCAAACAAAACAACAGCTCATTTCCAGGGCACTCCATCAACTGATGAGTCGGTTTCTGGTACGGAAACACATGTCGGCTATGAGGTCGGTTTTTTTCCTAATAGAGTCTGCCTAGGCGTGTACCTATTATATAATGTGCGTGCACCGATAAACGGGCAACTGCTGCCAGCTGGCGCCTTTGGATCTTTCGCGACGTCCTTGGACAGACGCAAGCCCGTGGCACCTTCCGCATCTTCATGCATTCTGCAGAATATTTTTGCCACGAAGAATCAAATGTAACTTGACCCCTCACATGGATTTCTTTCACCACCAACTGCGAAGACGCCTCTGAATTTTAAGGCTATTCGTACCCAGCTGCTCGTTAAACTCGCCTCCGACGAGATTCTTCTGCGTTACACACCCTTCGCCATGCCACCCAGTGGCCCTCTCGTTCCTTGTGCCCTGTGCAGCTTCACTATTGGCAGCTACGACACCGATCCCTCTGGCCCTGTCGCCTGGGCCAGTCAATTCCGAATCTGTAAGAGTTGATGGTGTGCTTCCCATTGGGGACGAGCTGGCCTAATTTCGGTAGTATACAGAGGACAAGCCGGTGTCCAGATCAGCGGCGTCGGGTTCCACGATCCCTCTAATCCCAGTGACTTCAAGGCACCCCTGAATCGCGAGTGTCGCTGGGATAATAGGGGGCCGCATGCGGCGGAAAGCGTGCACATCGGCGTGCTTAGCCAGGCTCCGGTCAACCGTCTACACGGCTTCCCGTTGCACGAAGCTTGCTGGTCTCTGTTGGACCAGACCTCTTGTCCTCAGCCGGTGTCGTTGGGCCGTCTCTTTGGCCTTTTTGAATCGCTGACTTTTCCACATGAAAATGTCTTTTGGCTTCTAAATTCTGGTTTTCAAGATGGCGCTTTGCTTCATACAAACCACAAAGACCACTATCCCTGGGAGGGCCATTTAGAATATCTTTCTAAAGATTCTGAATTATGGCACATTGCTAGTCAAGATCCCTACAGGGTTTCGGAGATCAAGCGGCTTCTTACCAAACAGAAAGGGCGTCCGCAATGGGCTAGCAGAGCTATTCCGTACCGCCAACCCGCTGCTAATGATTGTTTTGCCCTTCTTCCTGAGACGCTGTGCCTCACCATTGCGTCTCTGTTGCCGACGGTAGATGTCTTGAGGGCCCGCCAAGCCTCTCGGGGCTTTGTTTCGGTCTACTACAACAAGCACTTCTGGAGGTCTAGGTTTTCGGCAACCGGCGAACGCTCTTGGCTCTTTGAGTCCCAAAAATGGGGTCCCAGTTTGGACTGGCGCAGTATATATCGTCGTACAACTAGAAGACAGTGTAGCCCAGGCCTGCGGAATAGGGCAAGAATTATGAGTTTGATCCAGCAGGTCTTGGAAGTTCTGTCATCAAAATGGAACGAGGCACCAAGCTCACCTACACCATACCAGGGAACTGCGAAATGGCTTGAGGCCAGTGCCAACCTAAATGAAAGCATTCTCGTGGCCGGGCTCGCCAAATGCTGTCGCCAGATTCAAGAGATAGAAGCAAGCTTGCCAACTGCGCCTTATCAGTTGGCATTCTCTACTACGCGGCTTGATAATGTCCAGTATATAGCTGGCATCCGAATACTACGCCGAAGCCCAGACAGAGATGCGTGTCTGGGCTTCAGCACGCATGGACAAGAGATATATCTGGACATTACAGAACCTATTTTAGGGTTCAATTTGGCGGCAGGAGCCACTGGTATTCAAGCTATACAGTGTGTGTTAAAGAATGGGAAAACGTTGGGATGGATCGGGAACCCATCTGATCTCCCAAAGACACAGCGACTCGTGGTGTCTACCTCAATAAAGTCTATCAAAGCCGGATTTGACGTACGTGCAACTCTAGTCGGCCTTTTTTATCTGCCTTCTTGCTTAAGTTTGCCAGAAGCTTTCTGACTAGATTTCTGCAGAGTTTCAAAATGGTCAGCCTGGCAATCACGGAGCACAGCGGCCCTCTTTCCGGAGAAAAAACTACCGGCAAGGTCTCATTGAGGCATTCAGCTTTTTGGTACCCTCGAATGCCTTACAACGGCTTAAATCTTAATGACGATTATTTTACTGCAGCAGAATCATGCAATACAAGATACCGACCCCTCTGCTGGACCGAATTTGGTGGTCGCAATGGATCACATCTTCGTAGCGTAACGGGCGTGTCTGTGACATGTTTCGCAGCAATCCGTGGCATCAGATTTCACTATGCAATACATACTCCACGGAAGATGGGCAGAGTAGGAAAATACAAGGCTGGGCCGCACGACAGCGTCATGCACTTTTCTATTGATGGGCCTGGTGGAGAAATAATCGACACCATCGAAGTATTTCTTCAACTTCGCAGTAACGATAAGATGAGAATGGTCTACATGGGGGACGTGCTCGTAGCTTTCAGGGCAAGTTTCATCGTTTGACAGCATTTCTTTAGAAGGGAAACTTGGAGCTAATATCTTCTCAATGTACAGATGTCGACAAATCACAAACGAACGTTTCATTTTGGCCTAGAGGAAAGCAAAATGGGGAACCAAATTTTGAAACAATTAATCACTGTTTCTCCAGGATCTACTATGACTGGTTTATACTGGAGTCAGGTACGAACAAACATGGACGGTTTTTGTTCAACGGTGGATGTCGCTAACAAGTCTGAAGTATTTGGGCAAAATTACGGCTCTGGGAGCCATCTCGGCCATTTGTCAATAGTAACACGGGCTTTTCGCAACAATTCTGAACTGCCTCCCCAAAACGCAACCCCCAAGACGGGAGCGTGGGGAAGGGCTAGCTGGGCCGAGGGAAGTTAACATCGGGGCGACCTTATCTCCACCACCGGACATAAGGGTGCCAAATGAATATTGACGTCAAGGCTCAGAAATGGCTCTCATGGGGGGAGGGGGGGCTGGCTTATAAATATGTCAAGGCAAACCCAGTGTATCAAAATCATGTTCATTCCAAAATTGTATTTACTCACATTGCCCGATTTGACTGTCGAACCCCCCAATTGACGCACAATGACCAAGGTTCTTCTTACTGGTGAGCAGTGAATTGAATTGGGAGTCCGGCGGTAGGAATGTAGAAACTGATGACCATCGACATTTTTAGGCGGCTCGGGCTTCATAGCTGGTAGGTGCATACCCCGTCGATTCAAATGCTACCTCACAAAGCATTGAAGAGGTTATTGTTGGCTTTGAAAATAACGGAGATGGCGCAACCCCTCTCTCCCCACCTCACCCATTGTCATGCCCGTGATGCCACGAGCGGAAAACAACCACACCGGAGCCCAGATAACGCCATACTAACCTCTCCGTGATGTGATAGCCCACATCCTAGACCAGCTCCTGAGCAAGGGTCACACAGTCATCACAACCGTCCGTTCTGAGCAAAAGGCGAAGCCCATACGTGACGCCTACAAAGACAAGGGCAGCCAGCTGGAAGTCGTCGTAGTCGGCGACATTGCAAAGGACGGTGCGTTTGACGAAGTAGTCAAGAAGCCGGGTATCGAGGTGGTTTTGCACACGGCCAGTCCGTTCCACTTCAAATGGAGTAAGTCCATTCTGACACATGCCAAAAGAAAAAAAAGAAAATAGGGACACAAGACGTCCCGGCAGCTACAGCATGAGATGCAGCAACAGCCGCTGACAAAGAGGTCGAACACCCATAGCCGACGCTCAAAAGGAGCTGATTGACCCAGCCGTGATCGGCACAACCGGCATCCTCAAAGCCGTCAAGAGATCCGCGCCGACGGTCAAGCGCGTCGTCGTCACGTCGTCGTTTGCCGCCGTCCTAGACGAGAAGCACCTCTCGGACGGCTCTCACACCTTCACCGAAGAGTCCTGGAACCCGGTCGGGACGCAAGACCTCCACGCCTCGCCCACCACGGCGTACCCCCTCCCGCCGTCCCGCCTCTCCAAGACGCTGGCCGAGAAGGCGGCGTGGGACTTTGTGGCCCGCGAGAAGCCCGGCTTCGACCTGGCCACCATCTGCCCGCCGGTCGTGTTCGGCCCCGTCGCGCACCACCTCGCCTCCCTCGAGGGCATCAACACGTCCAACGAGCGCGCCGTGGCCCTCGTCACCGGCGCCTGGAACGGCGGGATCCCCGCGACAGGCCCCGTCACCGTCTGGGTCGACGTGCGCGACGCGGCGCTCGCGCACGTCCGCGCCATGGAGAGGCCTGAGGCCGGCGGGAGGCGTTACCTCACCATCGGGGGCAGGTTCACGAACCGCGACATGGCCGAGATTGCGTGGGCCGCGTTTCCCGAGCTGGCCCGGCGAGGGAAGTTGCCCGGCAGGGACGTCGAGGGCGGAGGGGCGCCGCCCGCCAGCGAGAACTTCAGGTACAACAACGACGCGACCGCCAGGGTGCTGGGCATGGAATGGACCAGCCTCGAGTCCAGCATCACCGACTTGATACGGTCGCTCGAGGAGCACGGCATCTAACAAAGGGTGCCCAACCACACATCGAAAAGGGCAAAGGGCGCGATGAGGGCATGACGTTGAATCAAAATTAGCTTTCTCTAGACGACCCGGCTTTATAATACAACAGGAGGTTGAAAAAAAAAGAATTAAAAAAAAAGATTATTTCGCCCAAACGAATGCCATACCATGCGTGGTGAACCGTACCCTGTGGTCCTAATTTAATCGTTCATGCCCCAGGCCAATGCCAATGCCAATGCCAATGCCATGGCATCGCAACCCAACGCAACCCAAATGCTGTGCAAGTCGTGCTCATACACCAACGCGTACATGTCTCATATTCCATTACTTCATACTCCTCTCACCATCATTATATGCCAAGTCAATATCAAATACAAAACGGTTCATGGTTTCATGTCGATGAATACATCACCTCCTAAAGGGCGAGTACGTGCCGCCCAGCCTCTCCATGTCGCTCTCATCCAAGCGCGGCCTCTTCTCCCTCCTCTCCTCTGTTGTGGGCGACCCAATGGCTACCCCAATCTCCTCTGGACGAACATGGTCCATTTGCGAGTCCAACGGTGGTGACAGCGGGTTGACCTGCCAGTACTTCAAGGGCGGAGAAGGCAGCGCCCGCGTTGGCGGAGGTCCCGGCGACACGAGGCCGTTGACTGGGCTGAGAACGCCGCTCTTTGGAGTCCGCGGTGGAGTCGCCCCTGTTCCCTGGAGGGTAGACGTGGTGGATGTTGATGCGGCTAGTTTGTGCGTCTTGATTGCCGGTGGTGTTGTCCTCGTAGGAAAGAGGTTGTACTGATGATTACGGCCTGGTGATCGCGAGTCTGGGGACGCATGGTCATGCGTTTGCCCATCACCCACGTAATAGGACGGCATGTCTTTGGCAGAAGGTATGTTCCCCAGACTAGAGGGCTTTCCCCAGCGTGTGTGGTGCAAGCTTCGCGATGGCCGGACTTCGATGGAGCCCTCGCTCCTTGTTATCTGATGGAACCTTCTCTCGCCAAGTCTCGGAGGCGGCCTCAGCTCGTCTAGCCTAACGTCATTTCCGCCCTTGGCTGGGATTTCGGTCCCCGGGGCCATTGGCGGCGTCGAGGTGGTCATTTTGGGAAACGGTGACGCGAGACCTGGCGAGTTTAGCACCGTTGAACTGGCATTCGCACTGAGGCCCTTTTTGTCGCTCTCCGTGGGGGAACAAGGCTGACCTCCTCTTCTTCTTCGCCGGCGGAGCTGCATGTTGATGAGAATGACGACCAGGCTAACTGTTACGACGCCGGCAATTGTGCCCAGGACAATGGTGACAATGACGGCGGTTGATATAGATGCGTTCGAGGATGTGTTGGAAGGGGTGGCTGTGGGGGTGATGGTGCCGGGCAGCAGAATACCAAGTGAAGGGTCTTGGATATATGTGCCGGCGGCGGTGGAAGGGGAGGGAGACGGAGGCGGGATTTGGCGGTTTTCAAGGGCGGCGGGCGGTGTTTGTGTTGGTTGTTGGGTGGACGATGAAAGAATCCGAGCATGCTTGCTTGTTGCTGTGGTCGTTGGGCCGGGCGTCGTCGTCGACTTACATGGATTGCCCTGAGCGGTGTGGTGGTGCGGTGATAATGACGGAGGCGGTGGTGCTTGCTTTGGTCCTGCATCCGTATCCGGCGAGTGTTGGGCAGTCGGCTGGAGCGCTGAGTGGCCGGAGAGGCTATTTAGACCTTTTGTTAGAAGGTTCAAGGATGGGTGGGAGTGTGTAAGTGTCGACGAACCGCTTCAGGGTGGCAACGAGTCCTTGGGCAGGCGTATCGCGCACCATCGAGTCCAGTTGGCAATCGCAGGCGCGGCAGTCTGCTCGTTGAGTAGAGCAGCTTGCTCGGCGCGTGCAACTGCTGCTTCTGCTGCGGTTGTTCTCGTCGTGGCCTTGTTGTTGGTTCTTGCATCTGCAGATGCAGTCGTGCGCACCAACGCCGACATGAACAACAGGCCCGGAGCGGCTTGGCGAACAAAGAGAGTCGCAACCATGACGACCAACATTCGCACCGACCGTCGAAGACGACGACGTTCGCACCAGCGTTTTGCTGTCCCTTGGACGACGCATGAACTCGCGCGTGGCTGTGGCTCGACTCCCCCTTCCCGGCGCTGCTCTTACACGCCCACATCCGCAGGGATGAGGCCTCGGCGTCGCCCTGGCCATCGCCTGATGGTCCCCAATGACAGATTTCGTCTCCACGAGGCGATCCCCGCCGACAGATGCCATCCGAAGTCGAAATCCAAAAGGCTGGGAAAGGGGGAGCGCCCCCGAGCTGCGCGCACCCTTGATTTTCCTTTCTTTTTCTTTTTTCCGCTCTCGTGTCGCTTGTCATCTGCTCCCCATACGGGCACTGCCAGTATCTCGATGGTTGGGAGGGGGGATCCACAAAGTATGAGGACCGAACAAGGTGAGGGAGTCTTCAAACAGAAACAGCGTCAAAAAGACCACTTCCGGGTTTGATCTGAGAAAGGGCGCCCGTCTCCCGGCCAGCGAAGTCGTAGTACACGTAAGTAGAAGCGGACGCGGTCGAGGAAGAAGAAGAAGAAGGAAGGAAGGAAGGAAGAAAGAAAGAAAGAAGGAATACAATAGAGGTGAAGAACAAGGTTCTCTGGTTGGCAATTCCACGCAGGATGGCTTGCTTTGTTGTTTAATTTCCAGATAACCAGAGCCGCATAAATTATACACGGAGAGGCCGGCAAGGGAAGGAACGACCGACGACTCGTAGGCCCTCCCGCAACCCGCCACCTATTATTTATTTTATTTTTATTTTCCGTCCGCCCAGTCAGTGTGATGAGAAAAACGTGGCAGGACGCATTATTCGTGGGCAAGGGGGGGGATAGCAATAGAGCCCTTGTAACAGATTTTTTTGGTGTGCCTGGTTTCCTCGATGCCCTTGAGGTTTCGCCAAGACGGATTGCTTCTTTGCAACGGGCTTGCGCCGGATGGAATCGAGGCGAAAAGGGCAGTTTTTTCCCCTATCATATAATGTGTCACAAGGAGGGGTGACGAGGGGGAAGGGCAAGAGCCAGAATAAAAAGACGGGGACGCATTGAATAGCCCCCTCTGAGGGAGAAGAAATAAATCAAGAGGAAAAGAAGCCGGATGGGTCCATGTACGGCGATTGATTCACGCCCTCCAAGCGAGAGACACTGAGGTCAGTGACGATGGGGGTTAATATTGTCGCACAACATGCAGCGTGCCGCTCAATAGTACATACTCTTCTTTTCGTCTGCCGTCGTCTTCTTTTTCTTGCCCTGCTTGACCCCGGAAAAAACGACTCGTACAATAACAACGACCAAAGGATGGGACACTGGAGCTGAAAAAAAAATCAGAGAGACGTATTGTATAATCACGTATGGGGGTCGCACAGAGTTATAATTCTCCCGTTGCCCCTTTACCATTCCCCGGCACACACATATTGCCCATGCAGGTTTGAATTTAAACCCTGCCAATGCACAACAGACAAGTGTGCCTACATAGCCAGGTTGGCAGCCATGTACTTGTTGTTTTTCTCGTTTTCGGCCGTTGGCAGCCCAAGAGGAGCGAGCGACGCATGCAAGTCAGCCTTATGTGAAATGAACCCCTGCGTCACAAGCATCAACCATGTCCTCCGTATACTCGATACAGGAGAGTATCTACAGCCCTTGCTTGTTGACATGTTGGTTTTGCTAGTATTTCTCCGGCTGTCTTGGCCTTTTTTGTTGTCCTTGTCTGCAAATGCAAGAAATCAATGCAACTGACACCCGATGCCGTTGTGGCGTCATCAATCCCGCCCCCCAATACGGAAGACTCTGTACCGAGTACACTCTGTGCACAAAGAGACATCTAGGAACCCACGGCCGAAGAAACGGGCGCGGCGGCCCCCAAAGCCAGAGATACCCAAGAAAGCGCCACTTTCGTAAGCGGATGAAAAGCCTCGCTGCCAGTACTCCGTACGTGCAATATGTACACGGGTTCCCTGAGAGAGCGAAGCAAGGTCAACAACAAAAATCAACCCCACGATAACGGTGGGTTGCACAGAACCACGGGCGGGAAGGAGATGAACGCTACAAAGCTGGAGAGAAAACCCAATCATGCTCCCGAGCACACCGGTCGTACAGCCATGTGCCTGTGGTCAGAGACAAAAATGTGCCAATCATGTCTTTTGCTTCGCGAGCCCGCCAGTCGCTTTGTTCCCTGCGGTTTTTGTCTCTCTCTCTCTCTCCCCTGTCATCGTGGTATTTATCCGAAGGAGGCAGAGAAAAGTTAAACCCCGGGGGCGAATAGACAAAACCCAGCCATGTGCGGCCAGGTCACACGACCCAATCGGTTCACAATGGGAGTCGCAATCCGTCAGCTACGAGGAAGTGGCAGTACTACTCCGTACTCCCTCTGTACGGTAGGGCGGAGAGAGGGTATCCTTGGTTTTCCCCCCCTTTCACCGTGTGAGGGTGTGTGCTGTGTTGTCTGGCATATTGCAGATACGCGACGGGACGGGAGACGGGAGACGGGGACGACCGGGGTGGGGGAGACTGATGTGATTGTATTGCGCATACGTGCGTCACGTCACGCTGGGTCAGTAAAGAAAAGGTGACGCTGGTTTGTGATTATAAATCAATGAAAAAAAAAAAGAGAGCATTGAAGTAAAAAAATGTGCGACTTGCAGGCTCGCGTAGATGTGAATTCTGTGCGGTCCTTCCTCTTTTGGCTTCTGCTCAGCCTGATCGGGTTGTTTTTGCAGCAAGAACGAGAGTCGAGGCTGCCGTATTTTATGCTTGACGTGTGTTTGGATGCGGGGCGGCGACGACACATAATCGCCGACAAAGATCATGCTTCGGAATACATTGATATGTCGGCACATGATTTGGGTAAAATGCTTGCATTGCCGCCTGCTTCGCTTCGAGATTGTCTGCAGTTTTCTTTCAGCGACCTTTACATTACGTCCAATGTAACATGATATGAGGTAAGTCAACACTTTTGTTGACTTGACATCCGACGTTGCCCTTCACAGAAACAACATTCAACCAAAACATCATCAAGTCCATCGACACAAGAAAATATGCATTGAATGGTATATAGCCTAAACCCGTAAATGTACAAAGGGGCAACCGCCCGACATCCGCTCTTGAGAGAATACATCGTCAACTTGAGTCCAGGCCGGGAACAAGCTTTCCCATGCTCTGTCAAGGGTTACACACGCAGCCATCTGTCATCTGTCTCTGCTTCCTTCCAACTACCCCCGGCCCTACTCCACCTGATGCCGATACCGACGTTTCAACTGTCAACTCCTGATGAATCCGCCTGGGCTGGTGGCGGTGCCTCTGACCCGGATGGCTGTGGATGCGGAACATTGCCCAGACCGGGTGGTTGGGGTGTATCCGAAGGAATTGGCAATACCAGCGGGCCCCTGGGGACAATGCTTCGCCCTGGCAGCTTCTCTCCTCGAATCACCAACTCCACTTCCTTCTTGTCCAGAGTCTCATACTGAACAAGAGCTTGCGCCAAAAGGTCGAGCTCCTTCCGCTTTTCCGTGAGTAGTTTTCTTACGTCCTCATATAATTTCTTCAGAGTCTTTTGAACTTCTCCTTCAATCATAGCTCGAGTTTCGGAGCTGAGATTTTCATATCTTCTGCCATACTCCACGGGTCCCAGCACATTCGACATGCCAAAGTTGGTGATCATCATGAAACTCAAATCAGTAGCCTTCTCCAAGTCCTACGCGGGGCAAATGTCAGTAAACATCAATAAATGCCCAAAACAAAAGCCTTAACCGAGAGCCCACTTACATTTGATACTCCAGACGTAACCTTATCGTCACCATATCTCATCTCTTCAGCCATTTTCCCTCCAAGAAGCACGCGGATGTTGGACATATACTCGGCAGCGGTGTATGAGTACTTGTCCATCTGCGGCACGTGGGCAGTATGTCCCAAAGATGGACCCTTCGGCAGGATGGTGACCTTGTAGAGTCTGCTGGAGCTGTCCTTTTCAAAAAGCTGCACAAGCGCATGGCCGGCCTCGTGATAAGCTGTCATTTCCTTTTCTTTTTCCGTAACAACCATTGATTTCCTCTCGGCACCCATGGTAACCCGGTCAAATGCCCAATCCAGGTCTTCCTTGGAAACCACTGTGGCTCTAGCTCTGCTGGCTCGAAGGGCAGCGAGATTGAGCATATTTTCCAGTTCAGCGCCAGATCGTCCAGGAGAGCGAGCAGCAATGGCATCCAAATCAACATCCGGTGCCGCCTTGATCTTCTTGGCGTGGTGCTTCAAAATAGCGAGGCGACCGCGAACATCCGGCAAGTCCACGTTGATGTGACGATCGAAGCGACCTGGTCTGGTCAAAGCCTTGTCAAGCAGGTTTGGCAGGTTAGTAGCGCCCATGATGATAATCTTGGTGTCTTGGTCGAATCCATCGAGCTCGGTAAGGAGCTGATTAAGAGTCTGCTTCGCATGTGCCTGATCTCGAGGGTTTCTCTTGCCGCCAATAGCATCCAGTTCATCGATAAATATGATGGCAGGGGACTTTGCCTTGGCCGCAGCAAAGAGCTCACGCACACGCTTAGCTCCCACGCCGACAAAGATCTCGTCAAATTCACTACCAGACATGTAAAAGAAGGGCACTCCAGCCTCTCCAGCCACGGCTCGGGCAAGCAATGTCTTTCCAGTTCCTGGGGGGCCAACCAGCAAAACACCCTTGGGAAGCTTGGCGCCTAGGTCAGAGAAATTCTCTGGGTTCTTGAGGAATTCAACAACCTCCTGCAGTTCTTCTTTGGCCTCATCGCATCCATGTACGTCACTGAATCGGGTCGTCTGCTTCTCTGCCTTTACCTCCGAGTCCGTCTTGGCTCCAGGTCCACGTCTAAAGGTGCTCAAAGTCTCGATAAGAATCGTGACAGCGGCGAAGCAGAGATACGTAACCACAACAAATGTCGCAAAGAATTTGACCCAGCGAAAGATGAGCGACCGTGTTGACTCTTGAACGACGACGTGAATTGGCTCCCCTTTGCCTC